AATCCCTGCACTTTGGGAGGCGGAGGTGGATGGATCATCTGAGGTCGGGAGTTCGAGACCAGACTGGCCAACATGGTGAAACCCCCTCTCTACTAAAAATAGAAAAAAAAATACCTGGGCATAGTGGTGCACGCCTGTAATCCCAACTACTCGAGAAATCGAGATGGGAGAATCGTTTCAACCCGGGAGGCAGAGGTTGTGGTGAGCCGAAATCGTGCCACTGCACACCAGCCTGGGCAACAGAGTAAAACTCCAACTCAAAAAATTTAAATTAATATTAAAAAATAATGCCATCTTTAGTATATGTTACATGTACACTTCTTTGGGATGTGCGTTTCTGTAACTCATCAATGCAACTGCAGTGTTCTATGGAGCTTCAACAGTTTCCATGTATTCCAGTACAAGACTCAAAGTCACCAAGTCCTGCAGGGGACACTGAAATCACTCTCTGTGGATGTACAGAGGGCATCTCAGCCCCCTAACCTATATACATTTGACACTGGCAAATGTTTTGTGTCTCATATTTTCGTTTATCAATTGCTGCTTACTTTACTGACAATTCTCTAGCCAAGATCTTTTCCCTGAGCATCAGGATTTCCTGTGCTGAACCCACTTTCTAGATGGCACAGGGCCCCAACCTTTCCATCTGCCCTTTCTCCTCCTCTTCTCAGCAGCACCAAAAAAACTGTCATTTGGTTGTTTCAAACTGTCATCCTTGCCTTCTTTCTTCCACATAAATCCCCTATATTAAGTTGACCACCCAGTTGTGACTATATCATAATCAACCCACGTCTTGATTTCTGCCCTTCTTCTCCATTCCACTATCCCACATCTCAACTGCTCTCGCTTCCTGCAGTTAAGGCCATTCAATGCATCCTGCTGCCAATCACTAGGTATCTGAAATAGCAATCTGACTACTGTCGTTCTCTTGCCAAAAATCTCCTGATTTTTTTAATGGGTCTTTATCACAGAGTAAGATTCCGGATTTGTTTTACAGCCTCATTTTGGGTTCCTACCAGCTCTCTGCACATTTATAAAACTGTCAGCCTTTGCTCACAGTGGCCCACTCTGATCATATCTACTCCCCAAAACAGATAGAGCTCATTTGAAGTTGATACCTAGGTATTTCTACCTCCCCAAATCTCTGGACACACTCACCAAGATAGACACTAGTTCCCCTTTTGTTCTGAATGGTTATCTAATCCTCTCACCTCCAAACAAGAGCATTTTATGAAAATCCTTCCCAATTATTGTATCTTACATGCATTTCTCTTTGTCAAACTCCCCGTAACACATTGACATTGGGCAACAGGTTTCATGTGTAATCCGTCAAGGTACCAAAGTGTACCTAGCACTACTACTGAACTGTACACACAGCAGGTGATTCCTACAGATAATGGGATACTAGATAACCTCCTGTCACACGATGCTCTAAAAGCTGATGAAAACAAGATGAGTGCTTTATTGAGAACAAGATTCCAACACTTATTTTGTACTGTGTATTCTTGAATTTCTCCTTCCGCCTGCCTCTCAATTCATGCACATGTAAGACAAGTCTCAAGCTGACTATTAAAAGTGCTAATACCATTATTGATGTTGATCATCCTTTTCTTTCCCCCTTAGATCTTTTCTGCATTGCTTCATAATTAATGTGCTGTCTTCTAACGTTTAGCACTTGTTTGGAGTTGCTGGAAGACAGGAGCACCTCATATCTACCCGACACTGGCTGCGTTTATCTTCCATGGAGCAAATCCTTGCTGGATGGAGCTTATATTCCATGCCACCCAGACCTACTGTAGAATCAGTTATTCCTAATCTATGACTTGAGCGTCTAATAACTCAGCTCAAGCAATCCAGGCCCTTCACAAATATAACAATGACATAATCTCTTGCAATTCATTTATGGACCCTATGGATTGTTTAGAAACCATTCATTTTGTTGACCAAATACACTGTTTGCTTATTAGTTTATATGGCATCAAAGAAAGATTCACATTAAATTAGCATTTTAAAATATGTTACTTTTAATGATGCGATAGACTCTTAAAAAAAAAAAAAGAAAAAAAGAAACTCATTGTAGTATTTCCACACTAGCACCCAGGCTATTTTATGTGTCAGCGTGTGCACTAGCCAAAGGAAAATAACTATTAAAGCACAAACAGAAAACTTATAGTCAACTGTCAACATCAGCTGTCAAGTGTTCATTTAATGATAATCCAGCCAAGAGCACATTCAACCCAGAGAAGCACTGAGGTCTGAAGGGCACAGTTCTGCTCCGGCTGCTCTAGACAGCACCAGTTCAGACTGGGGCAGGAGAAGGCAGGCCTCCAGAAGGAAGCCTAGGGTGAAGACAAAAACAAAATAAACACAGGATGATAATGAGTAGGCAAAATTATGGAACTGGGAAAGACACTGAACACGGGGAAAACACACATGAAAACTGTATGTGATCAAATGTATATTTCATACTAGATTAGCTATATAGAAAAAAAATGAGTTTGGGGAAACTAGAGTTGATTCCATTTATTTATGCTCCAAAAGTACTTAAGACTATATATACTACCACAATGTGAGTATTAACCAAAACTGTAAAATAATGTCAACTGGAACATTTAAAAACCCTTTGCATATGCTGAATTACACATAATCCCAAGTTTTCATCATCTCTTGTCAAGAAGAGAAGAAAAAACAATGCTTCTTGCAGAGGTCAGGTCCCCAGACTTGGTGGCATTCCCATTCTTCCTAACTTGTACTTACTATAAAATAGAGAGCCCAGGATGCTGAAAAGAATATAACTGACATATTTCACAAGCAGAGACTAAAATCAAAATGCAGGAACTGAGTAATGTCTACCATATAACTAAGAAAAATGTTAATCTGGTCTGGTCTTAGAAAACATTTGAAATCACCATATGTAAAAGCAATCCAAAAAAGCAATGTCGATTTTACAGGTAGTGTTTTAAATTCCTGTAACTCATCCAACTGAACATAATAAATATGAGGGCAAAGACCATGATAAAGGAAACAAGCAACTGAAAAAAGGATGGGGCAGAGGGAAACCGGTAACTCTTAAGAACTCCTCACAGTACCTGAGTAACTATCCACTCATAAACAGGAACCATTAACGTGAAATACCAAGTCTCAAACCATTAATTACATGCTTTTTCTCCTCCCAGTATTTGTAGAAGAGTTTCTCAATCTATGTTGGTACAATATATTCAATGTATCAAAACCTGAGAGGATTAGGTGTCCTCTTCATCACATACAATTCTTACTGAATTATTTCTTCTGCAAATCTTAGCCACACTGTCATCTTAAAGTTCAATTACTGGAAGAATTAACTAGACCATCAATGTCTGAAGAAGTATATATAATGATCACCTATAGAAACTATATATGGATAATCACATCAACAATGAGTTCTAGTTGTTACATTTTGCTAGAAGACCCTTCTGATCATTTCCTGATGAGCTGCTCGTAGCAGTGAACCTCTCCCATTTGTGTTGGTTGTTTTTTTCTTCAATGTATAACAAAGGAAGAAAAGGCGTGAGAGAAAAAATACAGAAACTTATAAAACCAGTAGCCTTCATTTAAACCTCAATTAGAAAAAGTCTACTTTCCTGGAGAAACCTCAGGTAGGCGTTTTAAACTTACTTCCAGGTCCTTTGGTCTTCTTACCGCTTGGGTTCCACCAAGACCAAACGCCATTGTATTTGGTATAGCCAATCAATACAAAGAACATACACCGTGATTTTAGTTCTAAATTTTATATTGATCGTTGAAAACAAGTCTTCTCCCATTCCGCCAACCTATTCCACTCTCTGGTCCCACAGTAGGATATCTTAACTCCTATCTATCCATCCCAACTTTCTTCTCTTTCCTCTCTAGGCAGGGTACATATTCTACCAATGTCTATTAAGAGCTGGACTATTTACTCGTCCTCCCTGCTGGCTATTCTTGCTCTGACCCTTTAGTATAATGGAGTTATCTAAGAATTTCTTTATGCACTTTCTTCTCCCAGTTTTTCTTTTGCCACCTGCTAGACTTCAACCTCAAAGAAGGTAGGGACAGTGTCTGTTTTCTTCACTATTATATGCACAGACTGAGACAAAAATGTTCAATAAAAATTTATTGAATGAATAAACAATCTGTGATACTCATCCAAACACTTCAATTGGTACTAAAACCTCTACTCCTAAATCCACACCATGACTCCATTTTTCCTCCTGAAAATTTTCTGAGATCAGTTCAATATCAAATGTCAAACACTGTGTGAACACTGATAAAGATGGGGGAAAAAGTAGGCATTCCCGGGCACAGTGGCTAACACGTGTAATCCCAGCACTTTGGGAGGCCAAGGCGGGAGGATTGTCTGAGGCAAGGAGTTTGAGACCAGCCTGGGCAACACAGTGAGACCCTGTCTCTATAACATTTTTTTAAAAGTAGCTAGACATGGTGGCACGCACCTGTGGGCCCTACTACTGAGGTCGGATGATCACTTGGGCCTAGGAGTTTGAGGCTGCGGTGAACTATGATTACACCACTACACTCCAGTCTGAGTGACAGAGTGAGACCTTGTCTTGAAAAAAGGCAGGGCGCGGTGGCTCAAGCCTGTAATCCCAGCACTTTGGGAGGCCGAGACGGGCGGATCACGAGGTCAGGAGATCGAGACCATCCTGGCTAACATGGTGAAACCCCGTTTCTACCAAAAAAATACAAAAAACTAGCCTGAGAAGGTGGCGGGCGCCTGTAGTCCCAGCTACTCGGGAGGCTGAGGCAGGAGAATGGCCTGAATCCGGAAGGCGGAGCTTGCAGTGAGCTGAGATGGCGCCACTGCACTCCAGCCTGGGCGACAGAGCGAGACTCCGTCTCAAAAAAAAAAAAAAAAAGAAAAGAAAAAAGACAAAAGACAAAGTAGGTACAACAAGCAAATAAATATATTGATAAAACAACATGAATGCAAAGAGTTGATGTGAAACTGTTCTGAGAAAGGCACTTACAAGAGATTTACAAAGGCCAGGTGTGGTGGATCATTGCCTGTAATCCCAGCACTTTCGGAGGCCGAGGTGGGCGAATCACTTGAGGTTAGAAGTTCAAGACCAGCCTGGCCAACATGGTGAAACCTTGTCCCTACAAAAATACAAATATTAGCCAGGCATAGTGGCAGGTGCCTGTAGTCCCAGCTACTCAGGAGGCTGAGGCAGGAGAATCACTTGAACCTGGGAGGCGGATGTTGCAGTGAGCCAAGATGGCACCACTGCACCCTAGACTGAGTGACAGAGCAACACTCCATCTCAAAAAAGAAAGAGAGACCTACAAAAATATCTGCGAGACAGAGTAACCACCTTAGAGTTTACTGAGCAAGCGGGGAGGGATGGAGGTAGATGAGGTTGCAAAGGCGGACCAAATCAGATAAAGTCCTGTGATCTACCGTGCAGTTGTGATTTAATTCAGATGGGAAACTACTGTTTGGAAAAGAAAAGGAAGCAGAATCTGAGTCATGTTTTGTTTATTTATTTACTTTTGAGACAAGGTCTGACTATTGCCCAGGCTGGAGTGCAGTGGTGCGATCTCAGCTCGCTGCAATTTCCGCCTCCCAGGTTCAAGTCATTCTCCTGCCTCAGCCTCCCGAGTAGCTGGAACCACAGGCTTGCATCACCTCGCTCAGCTACCCTTTTAGTAGAGATGGGGTTTCGCCATCTTGCCCAGGCTAGTCTCAACTTGTGAGTTCAAGCGATCCACCCACCTTGACCTCCCAAAGTGCTCGGATTACAGCATGTCACTGCGCCCGCCCAGCCAAGTCTTGTTTTAGAATGATGCATTTTGTGGAGAATAAGCTGCAAGAGCAAAAGTAAAAACAGGATGAGTTAGGAAGGTATCATAGTCATCTTTTGTGACAGATGATAGGTCCTTGAGAGATAATATATTTACCAGGCAGATTTTCCACGGTTTTAAAAATCCCAACTACCTAAAAGCACTCAAAACCAAAACATTCAAAAATCAAATAGATTATGCCCTCCTCTCCCTCTAGCAGCTACATGAATCACCTCACCATCGACCCTGAACACACTTACCTTTGGCGTCTCGGTTCATAGTATCCTCAACCCATCATTCAAACCAGAAACCCTTAGGACACTTCGCATCTCCTTCCCCCGCGCTCCCAATACACTGGAAACAGCTAAATTCACTATACCTCTGAATTACTCTTATCTGGAATCTGAACCATCCTGACACCAAAGATCCTTTCAAATTCGATGTAGGGAGGCTGGGGCTGGATCCATGATCTATGTGGTCTGTTCCAGAACACTGTTTGCAGTCCAGTCACTCTTACACTTAACATAATTATTTTAAGTTGTAATAATGGGGCTTATCCTTACTCGCAGTCACCTAAAAGGTAAATAAAGGTCTAAACTCCTTAACTGTGATCAACCATAATCTTATCTCAACTTTACTTCTCTGCTACCAGTCTTAGCTCCCTCCCCTTAGACGGCTTAGTGCCTCACCAGCCTGTGACCACATCATGTTGCCACCCCACAATGCTCCAGCCTACGACTGTCAAGTATCTACTCACCTTCAGGACCTGCTCAAACGCTATCACCTCAGTGAAATCTTCCCAGGCTCCCCAAAGTGAGTGAACTATTTGTGTCTGGGTTTTCAAAGAACTTTCTATGCCCTTTATTACGACAACTTGGTCAGTTTCCTTACAACTCTACCTATACCCATTAAACTTCAAATCTTAAAGAGAAAAGGACCATATTTTGTTCATTTTGGTATCCTCATTTGTAAATACTGTGTCTGTTCTACAGTTGGTGTCATTCATTCACCAAGCAAATATCTAACAAGGACTTGCTAGGAAATTAAGATGAATTACTAAATGACAGATGGATATTCTACAAGGAATAAAATAAATATATAAACAAGATAACCTCACACAAATGTTTTAAGAGAAATCTTGTATGACCAAACTTTTTCAGGACTTAAAACATTTGCTTAAAAATGTTATGGATAGTACCAAGGTCATAGCAAACGCAAAAGGAAAGTAACAGTGAAAGGGGTGTAAAACTTAATGTGTACGATTTCTTTCCTGAGAACTTGGTGCTCAAACTCCTTCCCTGCAGGACAGCAAACACCAAGTAATTATACTCAGGAAACTAATCTCACACTGACACTTAACTATAAATATACACTTAAACTTTCAATTTCAACCTCACATTATTCATTTTAAAAGGTAACAATAAATTACATAATTATAGCCTATGTAATGGGATTCAGAGATTACAATCATTGAAAGGAAAAAATTAAAATGTGACTAAATTACTCTTCTAAGATCAAAGCCAAGAAAAATATTTCAAGCCACATATGAAGTATTAAACTTCCTAGAAGCCACATTAAAGGAGGGAAAAAAGCAACAGGTGAAATTAGCTTAATTATCTATTTTATTGAACCCAATGTAGCCAAAATATTATCACTTCGGCATATGCCACATTTAAAAGTTGAGAAATTTTACATTCTTTTCTTCGTAAGTCTGCAAATCTAATTCAGATGCAAAATTTTCCTCAAAAATACTTATCTGTATTTAGATTACATAAAATCAAAGATATAAAAGTAGATTAATATAATCAAGTCGTTCCAAGTATATTCTATCAATAACTGAATTTAAGTCAATTACAATAAAAACTTTAGTTCCTCATCTCACTAGTCCCATTCCAAGGACTCAACAGCCAAATGCCACTACTACTAGGACGGTTCAGCTTCAGGCAGAACTGTGGCCGCTTACTTCAGCACAACTCAATTCAAGGAGCACAAACTAAATCAAAATCTTTTCCCCTTTGTCTCCTAAGATAGCTATTTTCTAGGCCCTTAACTAAAAGAGTAGCTGTCATTTTCTCTACTGCCTTTATTGCTACATGGTAAGATATTATCTGTCACTCTATTACACAAATGCTATTGGGGCAAAGGACTGGTTCACTGTGTTCATGGCTGGATTCCCAGTGTTCAAACTGCAAGAAATTACAGTCTACACAGCAAACTGTAGGAAGTCAGTATGTAATTAAGAGGGTTTCAAGCACTGATAAATGATTTAACATGTGTATCTATGCTGTGTTTATGACCTACAGAAAATAAATAGAAACTGGCTGTGATAGGGTAGTCTTCTATATTATTCAAGTAATTCCAAAATAATTCAAACTATGAGATCCATATTTTCAACCAACCTACAGAATATTTCATTTATATGTCAAACAGTTCATGACATGAACCCCTATACTTCAGTTGACTTTAATACCTGTAGCACAAACAGCAGAACATAAGTTAAGCACATTATATTGCAAAGCAGAAACTAAGAATGTAAACACACCTTTTCTACATTGTACTTCCCAGCCCTAAAACTTTGAGCATGTTATTTTCCACAAACTTCCCATCTTCCATTAATTTTTTTTTTTAATTTAATAGCTCCAGATAAAGGGCAAAGTAGCACAATACACAGCCAAGAAACAAAAAAAGTAGTTATCTTATTTTCCCAGTTAATCATCATGCATAAATGTACATATTAGCAACAGATCAAATATCATCTAAAGTTCTATGGCTGCCCAGTAAGGAAATGCTAGAGCTGTTATATATGCATGCAGGTGGGGAGGCAACCACATTCCAATCAGAAGACTTCAGTAACGTAGAAGATGACACAAAGCAAAAACTCAAAGCAGGTCCCTTTCTACATTTTTATCATTTTTTTTCTGTCTTCATGTACCACGAATAAAAGTTAAACACTGATTTTTGTAGAGATATAACTCATTTTGGTGTCACAGGAGTTAAAAATAATCATTTCTTGACTGAAGACAATTAGTAATACATAACAGGAAAAACTCTGTGAAAAAAATCTAGTATCGACATAATTTTTTTTAGAAGGGATTAAAAAAAAGTTTTACTCTCGTTAGGCTGCCTGAGAATTCCTCAGTTGGAAAATAGGTTAATAAGCCACCCTAGGGTAGAGGCAGCCTAATGTCACAGACCTGGGCCTCCATGCAGCAAGGAATCTCTCAACACAAAAAATGGGGGAGGGATGGGGTTGGTGCAATGTTAAAAAATAACACTGATTGCACCTTCTCAGAGCCAAACCCATTTATGTTTACAAAAATCTCAAAATGGTTGATTAATGTGGAAAACTGAGAACATACCAAATTCTATTTTAGGGTGGTTTTTGGGAAGCAGCGTAAAAGTCCCCAGGTGATATCCAGATTACAATTAGAAACAAATCTCTATACTTAAGTATTTCCTACTTGTAGATATTCTTAACAAACACACATCAAAGTCAATGCTATAGAATCTACTTTCTGGGATATTAAAGGCTTGAAATCAGATGACTGTTTCTTTGCACTGGTACAGTCACAATTTTTTGGAACAAACAACTGTCAATACAGCAAATATATGCTCTCATTATGAACCACTTTAATTTTTTATTGCGCTGCATAATTTTGAGAGGGCCTTGATCACACACACACATCTGAAGCTACAAAGAAAATGTTTTAATATATATACTGATGGTCTTAGGAAATACACTTATCAAATCTTTTATCTTCAAGCTAGAAAAGCAAAACAAGCTTACACCAAAGAGAAAGTAAGGCCATCATCTTAATCCACCAAACTGTATCATTCTATTCATATTCACCAGGAGGGTAAGCAAAGACAGGACAGTTTTCTAGCACCTTCATCCAGCAGCCAGAAGCATGTCCAAACATACTGATACAAAAACAATTACATTATTTCATCTCATACTGGTATGCTGAGAATCTGTTAAGAGGAAACTTGTTTCACAAAATCTTCAGAGTACACGTCTCCATATATCCTCTTCATTTGAATTAACTAGGTTTTGAAATCCTAGTTTAAAAATGTATGATAAATGAATTTATGCATTAAATAACACTCACTAGCTACTATGTTTCCTAGTCAGAAATAATGGACTTTTGTAGTGCTTATCAACTGGCAATAGCTGTAAATGTCTGAGGATGTTTTGACTGTCAGGGATCTTATCCAATCTACAATGTACTGGGACAGTCAACTATAGCAACAACAAAAATCACGACCAAAAAAGCCTCTTTTGAGGCACAGTATCTGAAAACAGATGCTCAAAAGGGTTCCTACAAACATCAGCAGCGTCATCATGTAGGAATTTACTAGAAATGCACGTTCTTTGGCTCCACCAGAGACCTTCAGACCACTCTGGAATAAAGTCCAGAGATCTGTGTTGAGCCTCCCAGGTGATTCTAATGCATGCTGAAGTGTGAGAACTACTAACTTCAGAAGGATGTCTGTGGCTGCTGCCCCTTAATTTAGAGGACGAATTTGTTTCCACTGTTATATCTTAAGCCCTAGAAAACTGACCAATACACAGTAGGTCCCCTTGATACATGTTGTTACAATGAATTAATGGATATAGTGAAATTCTGAATGACATGGCACCTTATAAAATCTTGTATGACTCAGAAAAGTTTTCTAGACAATTACTCCCATTACCATTTTCAGTTACCTGGACTTTTCACTCCAAAGTTACCCTAATGTGTAAAAGCATTCAAATCTGGGAACATTATTTTCTAATCAACTCAAAGAATTAACATACACTGAGTAACCACTAAGCAAGTTCTATTATTGCCTCTAACACTAAAAAGGTCAGAAATTACTAAAAGTCATACAGAATGACTATGTAGAATTTAGTGTACTTTTTCTCAATACATAAAAACACCAGGCAACATGTTGTCTGAAACTTAATACTGATTTACATTATCTAATAATGTAAAAATATCCTGAGGAAAAATTAACCTCGAAATGTACACTAAGATGTTTT